GCAGGATTTTGCCTCCCATCAGAACAGGTGTGGATAGCTTTTGGAAAGAAAAATATACATTTATAGATGTCCTGACACAACACAGCGACTCATCTGCTGAGGGGAGGGAGGGATGGGGGATGCCTTACTGTGATTAGCAGCAGAATTTTACTGCAGAACGCAAATCCATTGCAAATTTCTCCAAAGTTTAATAAAGCATAGAGAATTCTTATCCAGGACAGCCCCTGATTTAGGAAGACAGCCCCAGTCTTCAGTATTGCAGTATTTGTGGTTAGAATGCATAGTATGTTAAAAATATGCTAAGTATATAAAATATTCAGTAATAAGCTCACAAAGCAATAACATTCACAATTACAATGGACTGGGAAAGTGAGGACAGAAATAAAAGAGGACAGGAAGAATTGCAGAAAGAACCCAGCACAATCTAATGACTGAAAGAAACAAGTATTTGCGTGTCTATTAGTAGAGATGAAAATTTCTCAGGCTGAACTGTATGCAATCTCAAATTGTAAGCAATCTCGAATTCTACACACCTGGAAAGGAGAAATGCTAAAGGTTATGTGACAGTGGATCACAGTGATCAAAAAATTTGATGCCAAATTGCAATTTTTTTCCTAGTAAAAAGTATGAACAATTTTCGACTACAAATACAGGTGCCTCGCACCATGAGGTACAGGATTCCCAACCGCTACACTGCTAGTTAGCTGTGAAGCACCTACAGAAAATACATATAACAGAAATTAAAATAATGAAGTTCTAGGAGAAATTGCTTTGTGAGCAAAAATGAAAAGCAAAGTAATACTGTGGGTATTACTTAAGAAGTTATAAACAGTAGATAAAAGTCTTGTTACCTACTAAGAATGTAGATCCCAAGGAGGAAGAGGGATTATAGATGCTGAACAAGCCAAATCACTACTGAGGGTATCTGATAGAAACAGAGAAAGGAAAAATACAGTTTAAAAAAAAGCCCAGAAATGCTCAAGCTCATTTACTATATGTTCTGTTAAGAGAAATATATCCGATCATCCGATCACATTTTTATAGCTACATTTTCATTCACAGTGGTTTGCTTTTGAAGCGTTCCCTTTGTTTACTCTCTGTACTTCAGTCAGACTGTCAGTGCCAGCGGTGATTTCCCCCTCTCCTCTTTCAGAATCCTGGAGTACCTGACATGTAACCAGACTGGCAGCCACAGCTTTCGTAAGAGATCAGTCAAAGCTCTCAGAGGTCCGTTTTACAAAGATTATGCAGAAGAATACACAGACCACACCGATACTGTGTATGACAAAAACACCAAGTTCATGAATTTTCATGAAAATTCCCATTATTACATTTTTTTGGAAGAGCACGGAGAAGGCAATCTTGGGTTTGGCCAAGAGCTCAAGAACCCTCAAATAGAAGATGTCCAGACCTTTTACAGTCATTATGACTATCCTGTCTGCGGAGGCAATGAAGATGTTATATGCACTCCAGAGCCTGATGAGCTTAATCCCTGTGAGGATATAATGGGATATCAGTTTCTGAGGATTGTGGTGTGGTTTGTGAACCTGCTTGCCATCCTAGGTAACATTTTTGTCCTTTTCATCCTTCTAACCAGCCATTACAAACTGACTGTACCACGCTTTCTGATGTGTAACTTGGCCTTTGCTGATTTTTGCATGGGGTTATACCTCCTCCTGATTGCTTCAGTGGATCTCTACACCAGGTCAGAGTACTATAACCATGCTATAGAGTGGCAGACTGGGCCTGGATGCAACATAGCTGGCTTTTTCACCGTCTTTGCTAGTGAACTTTCTGTATACACACTGACTGTGATCACCCTGGAGCGCTGGTATGCCATCACTTTTGCCATGCGCCCAGATCGAAAGATTCGCCTCCGGCATGCCTTGGTTATCATGCTGGGAGGGTGGCTCTCGTGCTTTCTTCTTGCCCTTTTGCCACTGGTTGGCGTCAGCAGCTATAGCAAAGTCAGTATCTGCTTGCCTATGGACACTGAAACACCGGTGGCTGAAGCCTATGTTGTCTTCATTTTAATATGCAACATTATTGCTTTTGTCATCATTTGTGCCTGCTACATAAAAATCTATGTGACTGTGCGAAACCCTCAGTACAAGTCAGGGGACAAAGACACCAAAATTGCCAAGCGGATGGCTGTGTTGATTTTCACTGACTTTCTGTGCATGGCTCCCATCTCTTTCCATGCTTTATCTGCCATTATGAACAAACCATTAATAACTGTCACCAATTCCAAGATTTTGCTGGTACTCTTCTACCCACTCAATTCTTGTGCCAACCCCTTTCTTTACGCTATTTTCACCAAAGCTTTCCGAAGAGATGTGTTTATCCTGCTAAGCAAGTTTGGTATATGTGAGCATCAGGCTCAAGTCTACAGAGGTCAGACAATCTCAGCCAAAAACAGCAGCGGCTCTTATGGGCAGAGAATCAGCCGAGGGATAGGTCAGATTCTTACGAGCATTCAAGACCCAGTCAATGATTACCTTCCTGCCGTGACAATGCAGAACCAAATTCTCATGGAAGAATGCAAGCAAACTGAGCTATAACATCCCAAAGCATCACAGCCACAATCTGGTCAAGAGGTGGTTGTGCATGCAGTGAATAAACTGAGAACATATTCTCCATATCCTTTTTCCCTCGCCTATCCTTTGTGATGTCTGAAAGTACCTTCAGCATGGTCTTCTTTTAGGCAAGTCACTCATTTGAACCTCTTGTCTCACACTCTTATCAGTGCAGGTCAAAAGATACTGTTCTGATAATAACGCTGAAAGTAGATGCTTTATCTAAATAGGAAAATTAATATATATAAACTCAGCAAATATGAAATATACCCTCATCTAAAAAATTGAAGGAAGCAGGAGACCAAGCATAAAACGTGGGGGTACTTGTATGACTAAAAAAAGGACATAAAGTTTTATAATTAAAATGAGATTAAAAAAAAAAAATTAAAGGTTGAAGTTCTCAAATGGCAACTGCTTATGTGTCAACAGGTTTGACTGGTTTTCAAACAGCAAATTTCTAAAACTTCCACCGGGGCCTAAAATGGAACAGATTCTGCCATCCTGACCTAAAACAAAACTAATCTTTGGTTTGCAGTTCTTGGTTTAGTCGGGTGAGGTAGGACAAGAAGCCTCTTCATATTGCTTTGTAGCAGTAAAAGGCCAATGTCGTTGATTTTGTGGCTGTTCATAAGATAACGGGTAAGAAACATTAGTGTGTTTGTGCGCTGCAAAAATTCCCTTACAATCACTCTCTCACTTTTTAATAAACCTATTTAGGAAATGGTTTAGTTTGAATTTGTTTTGAAGACCAGTCTACCCAGTCAAGCTTTTTTGATGGCTGAAACTTAAGATTGCACTAAATTTTCTCCCAATTATCCATTCTTTACCTGACTCCAGTACTGTTTAATCTGAGCACGTTTATTACTTTGAACACCCTGTAACTACTGCTTTCTCACCACTACTGCTATCCCTAATTACCCCTCTCTTACAGGGCTAGAATGACTTTCCTTTTAGCACTTGCTATGTTGAGCTGCCTCAAATCTACACTTAGACAAAGGGAGTGGATCGTGCCTTTAGGTTACTTCATGCCCTTCAGTTACTGAATTGAAGGCTAACCGCTAGCTCCTCCAACGTGTTTTAAGAACGTCTCCATCTTGTAGTGAGATCTGTTATCTGACTTCTGTAATGTCTGCAGTACAACTACATAAACCACATGGTTAGCTTCGGGTTGGCCATAGCCTGTCTGTAGCTTAGACACATACTCTCCACACTGTGCTGAAGGAAATCCAAGCTCAGATACAGGGAACAACACACAGTCTTCTGCTCCAGTGAAGCACTAAAGCATTCTTCTGCCATACCTGCTGCTAGATGGGGCCAGACCATGATCAAGCAAAGCGGCTGTGCTCGGTTCATCCATACACCACAAACAAATGAACTGGGGCCTGGCTCTCTACATCTCCTGCAGAGATCAGGACTCGGGGTAGGAGCTGCTCTGCCCCAGCTTGCTTGTTAACACTTGTGTGGCTTGAGTGCCTGGTTTTGACAGCAGGATCAGACCTGTTCTCAGCCAACTGTAGAGACTAGCTTGGTAGGACTGCTACCAAGATTGCCACTGATCACTCATCTATTTGGAAGGCTTACCATGAGAACGGAGAATATTGGGTGAATCTTGGCCTTCAGGTAGGTATTTTAAAATTCATTTTGTGATATCTATACTGTTTTAATGGAATTATAGTCTTTGAGTAACTTTAATTACTTGAACAGACAATTGTCAGATCTTTTATAATATGGGTTAGTAGTATCTGGAAAAACGTAATGGTAGAGCCCTACAAACTGCTAGCTACTACAGCTGTTAATTGCATGATTGCAAATGCCATGTACATACTCCAATTCAAACTCAATTTGATTCCATATTGCTGATTTATAAATGAAGGCTGCTTCAGTGAGCAGAAACAAGGGCCTAGATTCACCAGCTCTGTGAGATGGTCTCATAACAAAAATGATTCTGTCATGGTTAACTTGATTAAAAATCTACAATATTGCATTATAGATTAATTTAGCTGCTTATTTTGAGGAGGGGCATGCTTCCATTTTTGGTTGATTCTCAGCAAACTTTGAAAACAAAACTGCTGAAAACCATGCAAATAATAATTTATGACCTCCTCTTCTGTGATCTGGACTCACCTAGTGTTAATCAGAAACATAAAGGTAGTTTCTTAAGCGTGCAGATCAGCAAAATTTCCTGCTCTTGAAACAGCTGCATTTGGAACACTCTGGCCGTGTCCGAGACTCCCATACAAAATGCGTTATGTCGAGATGCAACGCCTGCCCCCAGGTTCTGTCACCCTTCTGATACTGCAATAAGCATTAAAGAGAGAAGAAGTTTCCTGAGTGCCTTTACTTAGTATCTCATCAGCAGCTAAGACAATCAAGTTCCAATGGACAAACTGTATGTTTATGCTACAGACTTCACAGATACTAGTGTACCAGTGGAAAAGAAAATGCAAGCTTGAATCATATTCTTTTTCAGAAACAGAGAAAGACTAAATCAACATTTATTTTAAAAGTGCTTTTAAAAGTAACATGGATCACTTACTTCAAAACTCTTTTTACCTTAAAACAAACCAGAATATTTGTTCCATGGAAACTAGTAGGACATTGGAAAGATGTAGTACGTTGGACTGATTGGAGTATGCTTTTGAATTAATACAGCTCTTTCCTGTTAATAATGGATGATGGATATATTTACACGTTATTGAACTTTATCTCCCATCGTTGCATATATTTTTTTGTCTATTAAAAGAATTCTGTGATACTGCCTTTATGAACAAAGTTTGATACTTCTGGTTTATGTCTTGCATATTCCTTCTTGTGTTTAACTTGGTAAAAATATTTAAAAAGCTATTGGAAAGATCCAGGCAATAGACTTTAAATAATTTATCTACCAGACTTTTTCTTGTACATGTTTGTATCCTATAGATATTCTCTTCTATTTCTGCTGTGATCAATCCCTTCAGCCATTTTTGGTTTTGCATATACCCTTGCATAATACTTGCTATTTTAAATCCATTTCAGCAAGATGTATTCTTTGTGGCATTCAGTACATATTTTCTCTAGAATACTTTAGAAATAATGCAGAACATTGAAATAAAAGGTTTTGTTTGAAATTGTAAGAGGCTCAGCAATTTTTTTCTGAAAGTTTTAAAATATTTTTCCTATAGAAGAAGTTAATACTCTTTCTCTTGCACTCAACTTCATTGTTCTCCTTGGCTGGTCTATAGCCAAAACGACTGACCACATGACACACTGTTTGACAGAGGTTTTGAGTTTTTCCCCACCACTAGCTGGGAAAGGGATGTCCTAAATGGCCATCTCAAACAGTGCAGCGGGGATGGAAAGGAACAGCAGTAGTACTGCTGAGCTCTGGGGTTCCAAAACCTTCATTAATTACATCCAAGATAATCCAAAGAATCTCCTAACAGCCATGAGGTCCTCTGCAAAAGACTAATCTGCAATCTGATCTTTTCCATTCTCCTTTCTAAACCTAACGTGTATGTGAGAGCCACAGTGACTAAGGGCTGGATACTTCATGAGAAAACACTTGCATAGTAAGAAGTTTGTGTAGTGGAGAGACTCTACTGCGGAATTCTCAGAATAACTAAATGAATGCTTTGATGTAGGCTTTGCGGGCTAAGGCACAAGGTGTTGAAGGGCCATCATCACGCCCTGGAAGAGAAGATGGTTAAGAGGTCTTAGTGACGCACACCGAGAGATTCCGACAGCATTGTCAACCTAGAAGTCACGCTGGTTCAATAATACATCTGCATAAAGCTGAAATACTTTCGATCTGTTTAGTTGCTTCCATCTGACCCAACTTATTTTCATGTGACTAGAAATCATGATGTGAAAGTGAACAAATGGACGCTTTATGAGGTCAATATGCAGAGTGTTTCATCAGCAGAACCCGTCAGTTCTAACTTCCTATCCCTATCCCACACCTGCCCCCCCATGCACACACATTGGTATGAATTGCCATGGTACCTCAAATTATCAGGTTCTCAGATTAGACAGGATACCAGTCCTGTGGAAATTTGTCATTTTTGTAACTGCCTGTCCTTATTTTCCACCCTGAAAATATTGGGTAACTATTCCAAAACATGGAAGGCTCATCAACTGTAGCACAGGACTTGGACCTCATTGGGGCCATCCTGAACTTACTCCTTCCAAGAGCTTAACTTCTGCAGGATTAATATGAATCAACTTGAATCTTACCCTGCTTTTTGGGTAGGAGCTTTCTGTGCTGTCCTGATTATATGCAAGGCCAAGCCTTGTACACGTGGTCATCTGAAGTCATACCCTTACTGTTGCACATCTGTACAGTTCAGTTGAAGCTCATGAAGCTTTGTTAATTAGTTAGAGGAGGAGGAGCACACTCATTTTGGTTCTCAGCTATGCACTACACAGCTGTGATGAGGAGTCTTCTCCGGGTTCTCTGTTTTTCTTCTCTTTTCAGGAATGAAATCTGTTGTGAACATCAACTTCATTCTCAACACGTATCTAAGCTCACTAAACAGTCATTACAAAGTGATTGGAATTGTTGGATTGTTACTTGCATATATAATGTGATACTTTTTATAAGTACTTTGCTGCCAAGAAGAGCCTCTCTGTTGCAAACACTGAGACTGATAACTGGCTAGACTGCCAAACCCATGTTGGCTGTCTTACAGCTGAACAGCTTCAGCTGAAATCACAGCAGCTTTTCTTTGAAAAGTGAAGGAAAATGACAGCACTCCCTGTCTTTTGTGAAGGCAAAGCTGCAACAAATCAAATCCAAGCAGTAACACGGGTTTTAACAAAAAACTTCCCACTGCCAATTCTGAGGCACTGACTGAATGTCTGTCTGCTCCACGGCTTGTTGCTGGCTGGCATATGCACGATAGCACTGAAATACCAAGCAGCATGAAGGTTGTATTTGTGCTGCATGTACAATCCTGGTTTCACTTTGACTGTAGTGAAAGAATTCCCTAAATCATATGTGGATTACT